TTTTTCAACAGTTTCAGTTGAATTATATACGCATGTATATAATGTTAATAATGTTTAGTTTCTAGCCAGCAACACACGTGTTTTGAAATTATGCTATTTTACAAAGATTTTATTTATGCTTAGAGCAAAATAATTTGAAAATGCTTTATTGTTATGACGTAATATAATGATAGTTTCTCGAGCATGGTTAAGAGATCAGGCTGATATATAGTAATGTATATAATATTCATTGTCTATTAGGCACTTTAATAGGTTATCGTGTGTATAAAAAAAATGTGGATGTTCTATAAGAAGGAACAGAGTAGAAATTTTGTTCGACTTTAGCGTTCTAATATTTATAATATTTTATGATCAAGTAGGTTAAAAAAATATAAAACGTGTCCAGTTTGTTTCTATACATTTTACAAAGTTGTACAAAAAACAAGTTAATTATATGTTTTTAAAATATTTAACACACACATTATTATGAAATTAATAACTTTTTGCTTCGATGCTAAACGTTTTTGTTGCCTAAACACGTAATTTATATTGACTAAAACATAAATTTAACCTGTTGTTTAGCCAAGCTGATGGGCTTTTTTTGTTAGCAAAATTAAATGGGCAACATTTTTGTAATGGGTGTTGTTAAAAGGTATTTTTTTAGTATGTTCTACTAAAGCATTCCCGTTATACGTTTCATTTAGTATCATCGGGGGTTCTAAAAATTATCATGACAAATGTTACATTTTATGGTGAATAAAACATCTATGTTTGCCTTTTCATACCATGATTTACCAATGGACCTTAAAAACTTGATATGAGTAATGTATACAATATTATATAGTGTAACATATAAATTGATTACACTATTATCAAATATTTGTCTGCTTTTACTGCAATTTGTAAGGCAATTGTATAATCATATTTATTTTATAGTTCATATCGAAGAAATTAAGTAGGTTTTTATATATATAGTACAATGAATCCGTGTAACACAACTGATTAAAAGATAACCTATTCACGTTTATCTATAACGCTCTCTACTGTAACGATATATGACATGTGTAAGTGTTACTAACTGTATGTTATATAAAGCAAAAAATAGTATAATTCGAGATATCCTTTATTATGTTTTTATATGGTTAGCAAATTGTAGGCGGATATATTGTTCATTCTAGATTTATCTCGCATTCCAGGAGTAGGTAAAATATTTACTATTTAATATTTAGTATGTGGACTCCAGTAGTTACCGATGTAAGGCCGTCGCTGCCATCTCCTTGGAAGGCGGTTTTATGACAGATTCGCTATCCGGTACGGGTCGTTAGTCTGTCGTCGAAAAGGGGGATGTCATCGTCTCTTATACACCAGACGATTTCTTGCCCGGCAAACGAAGAGCCCGTGACCTAGTGTCAAACTAGCGTCAGTGAGCGCCGAACACTCCGACGCCTTAACCACTCGCCCACTCGTCCTCCTATGGACTACTAACTTGTTTATTCCACGATACATATTACTTAGTTTTAAAAAATTTACCTTAGGTTTAAGAGGACTAATCTCGTACTTTTAGCAAGTGAGAATCAAACTTAATTTTCTATAAAAGTGCGTGGGTTTTCTTTCTCAATTATGTTTCAAAATAATGAAAGTAGAGCGTTGTAATACTTTTAGAATAAATGAAGGGATTGTTAATGTATCAGCATAATTTATTTTGGACAAAAATTAAAATTCATTATTTTAGATCTGTTCAAACCATATTATCGATACTTTAAAGCACACAAGTGCTATGTACATTTTTTTAAAAATCGTGATTTTGGTATACCTGAATTCGTGATAAAAAACTGTATCAAATGAACCCAAAATCACGATTTTGAAAAAAAATTAACGTAGCGCTTGTGTGCTCTAAGGTATCGATGTATATTTTTTGTTAGTTTAAGAAACTAACTCTCGAATACGCACTATTATTGTCAGATTGTCTTAAAACGCGACAACAGGCAACAGCTAATTGCTTCTTTTATAAAAATAAGATTGCGTGGTAGTAATTATTATGTTTTTAAAAATACAACTAATATCTCTCATGGTCGTCATTAAACCGAGAGTATGATAAATTCTTAGTGGTCGAGACAAATGTAGTTGTAAATTATTGTAAAAGTAATTTTTATTAATTATACATATACATAATATTATCTAATACTTACGAATTGCTACACCAAGGTATAATTGAATAAGAATTAAGTATTTTTTTAATTGTTTAATTTTTTAAAGGATAAGGCGTAAAAACTGATTGCTTGTACATCAAAACACGTATTTAAATTAAACATTGTTATGTAATATGTTATTATTATAATTATTTATTAGCATATAAACTGTTTTGTAGTTATTTGTTTGATATATTGGGTTAATAGGGTTTATAAATAACTGTTTGTGTATACACATTCAAAATTTAGTAAAACATAATTATTTTTGTTTATTTACACAATGTTATTAAACATATTATTTTGTTAAAACTCAAAAGAAAGAAAAACATTTTTTATCTTATTTTTGAGTTTTTTGTTTGATAAATCAAATTGACATTGTTAAGTTTGTATTTGTTTACCAATAAAAGAGCGTTTCGTCTATTAAGTTTTGTTATTGTATCAAACGTATCGCAAATTGTAATGTATTGCTGTCTCGTTGTTATTAAAAATTGAAAAATATTAGAGGTTTTTGGTATACGTTTACCATAGTAATACACGAATTTTATTTCAAGCGATCACAATTTGACTGAATGTTAGTGTTGTTATCGAGGTTCAACTTTTAAACTTTCGTTTTGATACTTTATGGCCATTTCTTGAACTACATTTTTTTTTTAAAGTTAATGGTATGACAGTACTCAAATGAGTTGCCTAGAACACAAGGGGTATATAAGTGAAATTTTATTTATTTTGAGAAAATCAGGCTCAAAGTTTACATCCAGATAATAAATGACCATCGATTAAGAAAACAAAATTATACTAAGGTTTTATTAAACTATTTTTGTAAAATTACTATGAGTAATTTTGTTCTTACATTAAAATTATTACTTTTCTCTTAACATTGTACAACATTATGTTGTATAGGTAAAATGCAGAAGGGTAGTGTCAAGTGTGAAAAGGTCTGTCCATGAATACAACTTCTACGGTCATGGCGCAACGATATTAGGGCATTAGGTCAACATCCTTTTAATACATTTACTGTATAATATACACAATGTGTTGCAAAATTCATGTGATTTATCAATTCTCCAACTCAACAACCTTCGATAGATCGATACTATAGACATATTTTTATTATTTTGTTCCTAACGATGGCCGGTGCTGATTACAGCCACTGGCGGGTCAACATAAGCATATAGATACAGTTGGCTACCGCAAAGTTTCCAGGATGATTGGAAATTAATATTCGCAGTAACCTTGTTAATTCGGTCAATGGTTACGGAGAAAAAAATGGAACCCAATCAAGGTGTTTTTTAGTAATACAAATTTATCAATAATAAGATGTCGATTTTTATTATTTTATGACGATACTAATTAATAATAGTGTGATTCAGAGTTAATGTTGTATAGTAATACTAATTACTGTAGTATTCCAGCGATCATTATTGTTATAGTTTAAAACTAATTCATCCTCGGGCTTGCATCATATTTTTATAATTAATAATTTAGTTTTTTAGATTCATTGATATTTTTATTTCAATCTACCCTGGCTGTAATTTAATTAAGGAGTTGAAGATTTTTTCTGATAGGTATAAATAGGGTAATCTAGTAAATTCGCCCTAGAAACCTAACATCGAAAGCGAGTAAAATCTGAAAATAATATAATATTTTGTTAATTCATAAGCAATTTATTTTTTAACGACTATCCATTGACAATATTCTAAGAATTTAAGCAAATGAAATATTGAGTAAATAAAAACTTGCATATTTATGTTTGTTGTTGAATAATTTAAATCAAATTAGTTTTGTTTAGTTGCTATTTAAATAATAAAAACATTACATTTTATGAATACTGTTTTGACCACATCCGTTTGTCAATTTCTCAGACTTGTGATTTCTAGATTTGTAAACTTTATAATTTGGAGCTGATTGTGTAATTTAAAAATAAAAATAAATGTTGGTAGGAATTTATACCGTAGGTAATAGTTATGATTTATCCCCGAACAAAAAATCAGAATATTTAATGATACCATTTTAACCTGGTGTACGAACACTAGAAAAGTAATATTTGGACGTCATACCGAGTATCTCCTATTTAAAACTCTCTAATGTGTTTTTTCTTTCAGAATTTTATTCATGTATTATAATTATATTGTGTTATTATTTTAAAGCGTCTGCAACCGATGGCAGGGTGTCCGTGTTGTTATATTAAAATAATAATAAATAATATAAATCGGGTTGCCGTTTTGGCTCGTTTTTTTATCATAGCTTGACTGACCGATTTATTTTTATTTTTATTATATTTGTATACAAAAACGCACAGGACGGTCGGTGGCAAACGCAACTAGAATTTCCAGTTTTCGCGGTCGGGTCGCGAAATTTCAACACTGTTCACCACCTTTCGCGTGGCACGATCATGTGCTTATACATGTTTTTTACCTATACTCAATTGTTATACGACCGGCACACGTTAGAGGCGTTTAGCTTTTCCCACGTTCGCGTCGTTCTAAAATATTATTATACTAGCTGTATACGTTATATTATACCTATAAGTTCGCTGTTCATCAGAACGGAAAAAAACTATTATTGTAATTATTATATTATAGTTAATAATTAAGAAAAAAGATTAAAACAATAGTTAACAAAAAATAAAAATATAAAAAACCCACCGCCGTAAAGTCGGAAGCGCCAACCGAACGGTTTAATTGGCGGTTTTGTGTTTTTTTTATACTTTTTTTTTTTTCAATTTTATGTACACACACAATCATCAAATACTGTAAAATTATAATAACTGCCGTGTTGTTTAAAATTAGCCATACTGCAACCGCGGTTGGTTCGGAAGAGCTGCGTGAGTCCGTGTCCTCGACGAGTGCGTTCCGACTCGGTTAATAAACGGCAAAATCGCGAGGCACCCGTCATTGCGATAAAGTCAACATTAACGTCCACACCGCGTGATTTAAAAAACAAATTTGTGTGCTGGTGTGTTTGTTTGAGATTGCCATTGTTTTTTGTTTTTTTATGTTTAGTTAAATTTGTTTATTATTATTTTTATTTTGTAACCAAACGTCGGACGTTAACAAAAAAAACCGAGCAGATTTTCGAACAAATTTTTGATTAACGAAGTACTTATTAAAAGGCACTCACACATACATAGAACAACCTCGGCCTTCACAGTAGGTAAATTAAAAATTTTATAAATATTTGTGTTTTTGCTATATTTTATATTATTAAATTTGTAAATGTAAATAATATTAACAAACGCCGTACAAGTTTTAATCAATTAATAAAATACATTTATTATGTACATATTTCTTTTACATTAAAATTTTTTTTTTTAAAATGAATTGACATATTATTAAAAGCTTTCAATTGAAATTTTTGATAAAACAATGGACATTTCGATAAAAAAAAATAATTAAGCAAAAAATCACATTAACATTGATTTATCTTAAGCGTTTTTAACATTTACTATAAAATTATCAAAAGTATTAAGTCAAATAAAATATTGAGAATTAAATTGTTTAAGAAGAGGGATGACGGCCAAACAATAAAGTGTATTATATAGCTAGTGATGTGTCAATCATTCTTGAATCGGGATATTTCTTTTATAAGAAACTAGAAGGGTTTAAACCCTTAGAAGTTCATAGGTGTTACGTGTAATGTAATCAATTACACATTGAACTCTTGACGGGAAACTACTTTTGCGTATACATATTTTACCCTGGTCCCTTATGTATGTTAAATATATACGTAGATAATTTGTTTGGTTTCCACACGTTGTTGGTTGTCATCTGCGTTTGAATGGTTAGCGATCAACATGTATTACTTGCATGCAAACATTAGCCGTGACGTCTAGGCTAAATGCTAATGCCGGAGGCTTTATGAAGAGAGGGAATCGCAAAGTGTGTTAGTATTTGTTTTTGTTCGAAGACACTCGGTTTTTTTACGCTCTCTATACAAGTACACGGCTTTTGGTTTTGTTAGTTGACAACCTTTTTGCCTTTTTTTCTTTCTGAAATTCAATACATATCAGACGGTTTATGTGTGTCACTGGCTAATAATAATAATTGTTCGTTTGTTTTATTTTGTCTTGTGCGTTCATTTCATCGTTACAGTGTTACAACATCGTACTCTCGTTAAGACACATGACAATTCATTGATCGATGGTAACGTTTGTCTTTATTATAACATCGTCATGAAGGTCGGAAAATAAATCGGCCGACCAATTCAAATGCTTTGATTATATCAAATTTTGATATAAATTATATGACGTCAGAGCGGTTACTTAAATAATTGTTATGGTTAATGACCACTTAATACATTTTGATAATCAAGGTATACTTTAAATTGTTTGTTTTATAACAAGTTAAATTATTATGTCACTATTATTAAAGTTGCACAGTCATTTTGAGAAGCACAATAATATGTAATTATTATGATTTTAATCTTTAATAACTATCACTCGCCATGATTATTTTCGACATTATTTTTTAAATGACATTTTGCTATGATAGTATTACTATTATGTAATAGCGTGTATCTTAGTAAATATTGTTGATAGGCATTACGCTATACTAATTTATTTATTGTTTATTAAATGATAATTTTTTATTTTAGATCAGTAGTCAGATTAATGATTACAAAAACTTATTTATTACATTATTTTAAAGTCGGTTTACGATTGTTGTAGGTTAACGCTTGCGTCGATAATTATTGGATAATGTAAAATATTGTTAATCATAATATCAACTATATATTAATCAGTTGTATAATAGTATACATCGTAAATCAGTGTTAAATTCAGTGAAATTTAAAATAATTTAAGAATAGTAATTGTACACAGTTAATTAAAATAAAATATCATAATTTAAATTGAAAAAATAATAGGTAACACTCTGAGTTGACGATGAGTTAAGAATATTCTCTTTAAAAAAAAAGTATAACATGATAAACGAATAAACTCTTACTCACTAAATTATTTAAATTAAATTACATTCGAATGATGCCCAATTCTATCTTAGATTCTAGTACTTGCCAAATTTTAATGACAACTTTTTAGGCAAACAAAATTATTTGTTTGGAAAAAATTAAAATTTCCTGGATTCAGTATAAATTAAGATACTTAAATTAATACAAAATTATGGTTGAATGTACAAACCGTTATTCCTTAATGAGCCATTAGAAATATTTCATTGTTGAATAAAAATAGAGGTAAGTTAGGTTAGATTAGAATAGTAAAATAATAATTATTTAACTAACAAAATGTAATAAATAATTTAAAAAAAACAATAATTTTTTTCATAATATGAACTATTGGCTAGGTTTAACCTTGACTTTTGTCAGTTAAAACATTATCGGTGCATTATACACGTATCCATTGTTATGTTATAATGAGAAAACCCGCTCGTAAAATTACTTTACATCATAATTTAAAAAATATATCCATTATATTTATACTTGTTTAAGTATAGATATCGTATTTGAGAAAAAAATATATTTTTCCTAATTTTTGTAAATAACAGAATGCTTCAGACTATGGGCTGTATATTTTAGGAATTAGGTTTAAGAATACTAATTTATGTTTGGTTTTATTGTGCAACTATAATAATAAGTTCCCAGGGTATCTAAGTTAAAACGTTTTTATTTGTTATGCGAAAAATATTGTAAATGGCGTACCGGGAAACGCTTAAACGTTTTTTGACTTTTCTTTAATTTTTAAATTTTTTTAAATAGGTACGCGATTCCTTAACACTCATGCGGTTTTAAACCGAGTGTTATTGTACGTATTGTGATATTTATTTTCTTTTAAACCTATTTTAATGATAAGTCGCATAAGTACAAAATTTGAGAACATGATATAATTATTTGTAATTTTTACGTTGATTAAATGAACTGAAATAATATTTCGCCTTCTTGCGCCACTCAAATCCCTCTATGTTGCTCGTATACGGTGTACGCTTAACTACTTTGAGTACGATTCTATCTTCTGGGACCCTAACAAACTGTCGCTGGCAACATGATAGAGCGTGTTCAAACTAAGTTCCTCCGGACGGTTGCTTTGAGGCTCAACATTTCCTGCCCACCCCACGATTATTCACCTGTCCTACTTGTGTTGGGATTTTCATGCTTTGTCGATCATAAGCATTTGGCGAACCTCCGCTTCCTCTCCTGGTTCCTATCCAATCAAATTAATTCTCAAATGAATTGTACAGAGCTAAAAAAATTGGTAGAGGTCTATTAGTTTGTAAGTTCAATCTGCTGTTTCAACAAAATTATTAGTTGTGTGTCTTTTGAATAAGTTATAATAGTTTAAAAAAAAGAGTGACCGCAAGTGCCACCAAAAAGGTAATGACCGCAAATGTGAGGACACCCCTTCGCGCCATACCCGTTCCTTTATTCCCTTTCACATCCTTTATCTTTCTTCCGACTTACTTAAAAATGCCACCATGTTCCAATTCACTCTCACAAACAAACTCTCATTTCGCTAACCTTGGCCCCATGTTTACTTTTTAGTTATTATTTTATATTTTCTCAGTGATATTCACTGTGATTAACTAATCATACTGTACTGCATATTTGTAAATTGAACCTCGGCTGTATATTTAAAAAATTAAATACACTTGTAACGAAATGGTGCGCAATACATGTGTATTATTTATGTACTATTTATTTTAATCTGACGGTATGTCTGCGCGTTGCGATTAACAAGTTTAATGAGTACTTAGTTTTTAGAACGGATGCTTTTATTAACTTATATTTGCTATAAATTCCGTTGGCATTCTATTTTTACTAAAGAGACCAGACATAGGTACTCGGATTCTGCATGCAACGAACGTTTTTTTTTTACTTTAGGCTAAATTATAAATTGTTCATTTTAAGTTAGTTCATAGCTTTATAATAGAACCAGTTAGTGAGGTATAAGTATAGTTTAGGCATGTGTTTATGTCTATTAGTTCCTAGAAAATTTCTGAGAATTTTAGAAAAGTTACTATATGTATGTGGTTTGTCAGCAAATGTCCTGTAATGTCTAGTTAAATCATTTCAGCAAGTTTTGATATATTTTTATCTATTTTTAATGATTTGCATATTTTTGTTAGTTGTATCGATTAACATTAAATTATTATTATGGTAATTTTGGTTTATTTGTTGAAGTTTAAGGAATAGACGAATAGCTAATTAAAATATTTTAATTTCTTATACTAATATAAATCGTTGTTGATTTTACAATGTGCCTGCCTTTTCCTATTTTCTCTTCATATAATAGGCAATATACGTCTTGTACTAGCAATGTTTTAACGTTAAGTAAATAATATCAAAATAATAATAATAACAGTGGCCCGAATAGTAACTGAAGCAAACGCCGTGCGATTATTGAACTGAATTATTAAAATTAAAATTTATGATAACAAAGAAAAAAGGACATTCTTCTCTTCGAAAAACAAAAAAGTATTTATTCTTATGACTCATTTTCACATAGTTACAATGTTATTTGTACATATGGGGTAGGGAGAAGAAAATCTGTCGCTATTATACGAGTGTCAATAATTAGTAGTTTTTAATGTTATCGAGTACAATTTTTCAATCGTTTAACTATTTTTAATAATAATCGCTCATTGTTGAAGATGGTTAATAAAAAAACTATAGAGGTAACTTACAAAAATTATGATATTATGATATCACAACTAATATAGTTTATTAAAAATGATTTTCCTACCGTACGATATAATGACAATATTAATATGATAGTTATGTGATTCAAAATAATCTTCTGTATTTTATTGTGAACCATTTCAATTTACACACATCTAATCGCTATTTTCGATCATCGAATAATGTTTGTTGCTCAGATAATTGTTTGTTGTAATAAGCGAATGAAGTTATTATATTTGTTGTGATGTGCATTTTATCATATTTTCATATTAAACTATAACCTATTATTTCAACATACTTTTGTTTTAAATAAAATAGTTAAGCCTTACAGTATCAACTATCGAGTACCTTGTTGAGTTCACTAATCATTTTATCGTCTGTACTAATTACCTCATCAACAACAGTACGTTTTAAGAAAATGTAGAGCTAATGAAGTTTTTCTGATTGTAAGTACGCTGAAAACTTTTATTAAAAAATATATATAATATATTGTAGGTTTTAATTACTTTGACGATTAATTTATAATA